GGCAGGGCTCAATCTGCCTTATTGTGCACCCTGCCTGGGATTTCTACTGTGAAAACCGAATTCTTGGCTTGGTGTCAATGAGAACTAGCTCATACATTATCAGATGTAAGTAACATCCAGTAGGATGACAGAATCCTGGTCTACCAATTGTCATTTACATAAAGTAGCGTTTGTTTATTGTCAAGAAGCACTGACTGCCTTACTAGTCACCCAAATCACTCTCAGTAATGATGAGACTCAGAGTCATTTTCAGTAATTACCTGCCACATCCTGGAGATTGCCTGTGCACATGTGCCCTTCCAGAAAGCAATGCAATCAATTCTAAGTTAGCAGGGGAAACTGAGTCACGGGATCACATGGGAATATCTGCTAGAGACTGAGGAGGTAAGTCGAATAAGAGAAGACAAGATAACATTTAAGTTAAGGCTGCAGCAAGAGTTAAGTGTGGGAATAGTTCAGGATTAGTTAACTGGGAGCCTTTGGTAGGTTTGATGTGTTACACTGGAGAGAGAAGGCCTGTATCAAGGGCAGGAGGAATGGAAAGACCTTCCAGGAGGCTGGAGTTGGTGTGAGATGGGAGGGGCAAGACTGGGCATCTTTAACAGTACCAGTACCATAGACTGCATGCTGCTGGCTTGGTTTCAAAGTGAAAGTTGCTGATGGGCCTTTATTTTAATCATGTATTTATATGCAGTACTGAGAATTGAACCCAGTACCTCACATATTCGAGGCAAGCACTCTATCACTGAGCCACAACCCCAGCCTGCATCAAAGTGAATGTACTTTTGATAAACTATCTCCTTCCCAAACTGTTATGGCTTCCTGTTGTAATTTCAACATACCCAAACTCGACGCTCCTATCCCGGGCATGCTGCCACATACATAATTATCCACTCATGAATCAATTGTCCCTAATATTGCATGAGCTTCTTAAGATATGGGGCAGTGTGTAAAATTCATCTTTGTAACAACAATGACAGGTCTAGTGCAAGGCACACTAGCTGTTTGCTAAACTTAATCAAAAGAACATTTCTTGATGGATTTGCAGTACAAATCAAAGAAAGCCCCACTCCTTTTTAATTTTCTGAGGGGAGAATTTTGACCACCTAAAATGGGGAAAAAAAAATCAGCCCACTTTTTGCAAAGATGGCCCTATGGACCCACCACTACTTGCCAGTTACATAAGAATAATGTTAGCCTAATTGAATTATGTGGCATCCAAGAAACAAAACTTCTCTTCATGGATCAAAGTCACTCTTCCCCTGTGGCCTTTGGATTGTCACCATCCAACACACAGGCAAATAGCTTTGGAGATATGCTCAAGTAGATTGACAGTGTGCACAGTAAATTTGCTTCAGTTTATGATGACTTTCTTAATCGCTTCCACTATAGGAACAGCAGGAAACCGTAAGTGTGGTCTACTAAATTTTGTTTCTTACTGTCCAGAGAAATTAAAAAAAAGCAGATACATACAGGTGCACAACACAGAGCACAAACTTAGAAAAACCCTGGAAGAAATAGTTGCATTGGGTCTGAAAAAAACACAGAAAAATGTCCACATTTGTTCCTCTGTGTAGCTTTTGTTCATGTCGGGGGTGGGGGGCGGTTTGAGGAAATTAAAATGTAAATTTCATCTTTAGTTGGACATCATTTCGATGCATGTGGAAAATACTCATCACAAACAGAGCTGGATGAGTCATCTGATCTCAGAAAAGGAAATAATGCTTCTTCCCGACTTTCTGTCTCTCTTTTGCAAGATTTTCCATAATTCTACCCCTGCTTTCCTCCCACAGCATCTCCCCTAACCACAGGACGCCAGTTCTGCAACAGGGACGTGTCCACCCACCCATTCCTGCAGCCGGCCCCTCCAAGGCTCCAGAATCACAGCCCCGCCCCGCGCCACAAGGTCCCGGAACTGACCCGACGACCAGGGAAAGGCCAGGGAGGAGGGGTGACCTGCGCGACCCCTCTCTGATCTGAGAAGGAAAGGCGGAGGCCAGCGCGCTCTGCTCAGTCTGAACAGCAGGCCGCAGACGCGGTCGGTGGCCCAGGTGCGCCGGGTCGCCGAGACTCGGGCTCTGGTTCGAGTAACCAGGACGTGGCCCCAAGCCTGGGG